TATTAGAAGAATAATGTTCAATTTTCTCAGTTTAGTATTGCGTTACTTGTTTACTTCTCAAATGTGGCCTTTGCTATGAGGTACAGACCTCATATAACTAATTTATTTATAATTTAGTCCTGAAAGTAATGTGGATATTTAAAATATACTTTTTATTTTTTATATCTGTTTATGTAATAATATATAAATATGTAATATATAGGTTTATATGATATTATATAGGTATATATTTAAAGCCTCTTCCACTAAAGACCTAGGAAGAAATATAAGACAAGATATTGACAGTTTACATCATTATTGAAAATACATAAATAATTATGAGCAGGGTTTTTTTTGTTTGTTTGTTTTGTTTTTAGAAATATAAACTTTAAAAATCATGCAGATAGGGGTCAAGAGACATAAGGAATGTGTCATTGCAAACTGGTGGGAAGGGATTCCCTGTTTCCTACATGCACATTCTCACAGTGTCTCTGTTCTATGAGGTAATACTTTCCCAGGTCTAGGGGATTAGGATTTGGACACCTTTGTGGTCAATAGTCACACGGTCTCACCAGGAATCACCATAGATGCATAATTCTTTGGTTCTTCAATTATAAAATATGTCAACACATGGAGGGAAGAGTGGACACCCCTCACTGGTGTAGCCATGGTGATGGTGTATCAGTATGAGGAGCAATCATATCATTGTATCAGGATCCCTCTCTCCGTCCATCATGGTCATCATCATCATCATCATTGTCATCATCACCACCATCATCATCATCATTTGCTTACTTATACTTCTCATTTCTATAGAGCTTGTTTTTGCACAAGCATATGAACCCTTCATCTCAATATTTGTGCATGTCTCAGATGTAAGTAAATGGGTAGCCATACTCTATTTTCTTTTTCATTTGGCTTTTGACAACTGGTGGTCCTTGCTGCCTCTTCTCCATCTGCTTCCTCCCATAGGAAATTGGATAAGAAATCATAGTTTTGTCTTTAGAATTCATTGTGAGATTGAAATCACACAAGCCCCTGCAAGGGGAATGCCTGCCACCCCCAACCACCTTGCTAAAATTAAAGCCCTGAGCCAGTCCCATTTCCTATGTCCATTAAAGCATCTCTATCTTACTGAATGACCTTCCATGTGACTCCAAGAGATTTCAACTATGTACATGAACATTCCATATTCCTTGGTGTGTGTGTTTGTTGTCAGCCTGGTCATCTGTAACAAGCTGTTATGGGTCCCTCAGCCTCTGACTGGCTTCATCCACTCTTGTTGCCAAGAGCATGATGACATGTCATTGATCTTCACCACCAAGGTCTTTCTTCACTAGATTTGGGGTCACATGACTCTGGTGCTTACTCTCCAGTCTACATGTGTCCTGATGCTGACTGAGCTCTGAGCTGTGAGGAGCTGAGATGCACTATTGAGTTTGCAGAGCCTCTACTTGGGTTTAGGTGACGTGGGCATAATTTTTTTTTACCATTAATTGGTACTAGGCACAAGTTTGTCTGAAAAAAACTTTCTGCAGTTTGCCCATGTGAGAAAATTGTCTTTCTTTACAACAGACTTTCTAACTCAGAGAGGACAGAGGTTAGTGCAGAGTCAGGAATCCAGAGGTTTCTTGAGGGAAACTGTGACATGAAGAGAAAACCACATAGGAAACCAGCCCAAACCTCCAACTGCACCTGCTGCTGGGATGGTCCTTGTGTTCAGGGACCCTGAGCGTCTCCTGGTGGTCACAGCCTCTGCTGCAGAGAGGTTTGTGTCTGGGCTCACACTGACTTCCCCTCATTATGTCTGTTGCACAGTAATACACAGCCATGTCCTTGGATGTTAGGCTATTCATTTGCAGATATATCGTGTTCTTGACATTGTCTCTGGAGATGGTGAATCAGCCCTTCACAGAGGCTGCATACTATGTGTTCTCACCATCTCTCTCTATAAAAACCTAAGTGACTGGCCAACTGGTCAATCCACTGACCAGCCGACCGGCCAACCGGCCAGTAGCTATGATGCTCTCTGACCACCAGGGGGCAGAGGCTCAACACAGGAGCTGCCAAGCTACAGTGACTTGGCAGCTGTGGTTCTTGGGTTACACACCTGGAATTAGACAGGAGGGAGCCCGATTCTGGTGTGTGTCACCCCAGAACTGCCCTCTCGTAATCCAGGACCCCTCGAGGGATGTCAGAGAGCTGATTTTGGCCCAATCCCTGCAGGCCAGGCTGAGGGACCCCACTGGTGCATGAATCTGTGCACTGGGCCTATTAATTATCAATAATAGCACAAATCTACTCTATCCCCTTCCCTGGAGCCCGGTGGACCCAGTTCACGTAGTAGTTACTGGAGGTGAATCCAGAGGCTGCACAGGAGAGTCTTGGAGACCCCCCAGGCTGCACCAAGCCTCCTCCAGACTCCACCAACTGCACCTCACACTGGACACATGCAAACACAGAAACGTTCAAGTCAGGAAACTCTCACACGTCCACAGTTTCTCTCACTCATGTCCACTCACATACTCAGTGTCTCTTGTTCTACATAAATTACTTCTCAAAATATCCCCAAGGAAAACCGAGCTGAGCCCAAACCCCATGGTAAGTAAGTGTTCTGTGCTCAGTCCTAATCAGAGAATAGGGACACCTGGAGATCCCGGGGCTGGGCTCCTGTCCCAGAGCTGCAGGGTCAGGGATTGGCTGTTTCTTATTTGCATGTCCTCTGACTATATAGGGAGCTCTGGAGTTGGACTCTTACATAAAGGCCATCATTCCAGAGTGTGTCAGGCCCAAGGGTGCTGTCTGTTAGGAATTACTCCCCACACCTGGGCCTCTGCCCTCCCCCTGGACCCATCTGCTGCAGGAGACCTGTTCAAAGACCCAGGAGAGAAAATTGTTGCACATATAAAAAGAGGAGGTTTAAAATGAGAGAGATGCTTTTGACTTTCACCAGTAACAGCAACCAAGAGAAATCAACCCTCACAACCCTAGAATGTAGTAAAAGTGAAAGAGGTTCATCTTCAAGAGGCAGGAAGTTCCATCTGACACTATTTCCCCTACAAAGTGATCAGAAGATAAACTAAGACCAGAGTGTGAGCCTAGAGCCCGTGGACCTAGTGCTGGGGGAGAGAGGAGCATCTGTGTAGGTCCCTGGGAACAAGAAGCATGAACTATAGAGACACAGACAGAGCTCCTGGGTCCTGTTCCTTCAGGAGAATATGGTGCTGGACATGTAGTAGCTGCATGGCCTCCTTTGTGGTGTTTATTCTCTAGACTTTGTTGTAGATCTGGTTTCATACATTGGAGTATAGTAGAAAATAATCATAACCAGCTGTGTTTAGGTGAAGTTGTTGGTAAACATTATGGAGGAATTCAATTTATGTTTTGAAAATATGATTATGGAAAATCTTGTTGCAAATCACTGATATTAAATTACAGATATAAATAAAATCATTATTGGGCAGAAAGGAATTATCTTTCTCTGTCCATTGATTGCAGAATGAATGAATCATTCACATAACCTCCCATTGCTTCTGGAGCTGAAGAATTAATTTCATTGAAACCTTGGCAGTTCCACCTTGTATTCACCATCAGGGTCTGTGTCCATGAGGACATGTGACATGGTTCTAACCAGTAGCAGGAGGGCAGGTTGGGCTTTCCTGTTTCATCAGCAGCTCATTTCAGAGGCACCATCTCCTCCCTCTCAAGTCCCTACTCACATCTGCATGTGACTCTTGGCAGTGTCTTCAATGTCTCCATATATGATGGGTGTCCCTTGAGACCTGAATCCCATTCACTGTATGGACCAATGTACAAGATGGGAAAAGCAACGCTGAGCCTGGTGAGGAATTACCATGGAGGAGAATTCATGTTTGAGCAGGCACAGCTTCAGGATCATCCCTTCATTATGTTGTGATTTCCTCATTGTTTTCCCAGTTCAGTTTGTCTCCCTTTTCCCAGAAATAGCCACAGGTAACATCCGGAGTCATTCCAATAAGGAAGCACTGGCTTAAAATGTAACTCACATTCCAGGTTTCAGGTGAGGTCCAAACTACTGTGTCCTGCATCCCAGACAAGTGTCATGGCTGAATTCTAAACAAATTAGCATGTGCACACACATATGTTCACTCCACTCTCATGCACACAACTCCCAGGTGTCAGGAAGGAAACTTGTCCCAGGTTCCTGAGGGGCAGTGGAGGCCCTGACTCTCGGGAACTGTGATGGCTGGACCCTGACCTCAGGAATGTCTAGGTTCTCATTGCTGGAGCCTGTGGGTGTCCTTATATGACAGGACTTTCCAGACATGGTTAAGGTGGGAACAAGGGAGCTAAGGGTGCTGACATGGGGATTATCCTGGCCACCTGCTGGGACATTCCTGTAACCACAAGGTTCCCCTTCATAGGGAAACAAACCAATCAGACTAAAAGTTTTGTGATCATTGAAACCAGATGTTGGGATGGGTTTGCACATCCACCTGAGTGAATGAGGACCAGGAGGGAAGCATGAGGTAGGGAGGGTTAAGAGCTGTGGTAGGAGGTCCTGGGAGATGATCCTTGTCCTGGTGGCCAATGTGGGCCTGTCAGAGGGAAACGTGGGGGCAGGGGCCTGAGCTCAGCACACAGGTGCCTGGGCTGCTCCGGGGTTTCTCTTGGTGGGAAGGTTTCCCAAACCCAGGCCAACGAGAGCACTGAGAATGGTTTCCTTGCAGAGAAGGAGAAATAGAAAATACAAAGACTTGTGAAGGAGAATTCCCTTCACTGCTGACATGTCTTCTCCAAACAGTGTCCCTTTTTCATTGTTGTCTGCAGTGAGAATATGAGAAGGAAGAGCCATCCCTGGAGGCAGCTGAGAGCTTCAGAGGAAATCCTTGGGCCCAATAGGAAGGCCCTTCCTTCCCACCTCCTTCTGCCCCTGCTCCTGGGGCTGCTCTCTGTGCTGTGGGTCTTGCCCGCCCCCTGGTGTCCAAGAGCCCTCTGCATCCCAGCCCTGCTGCCTCCCACAGGGAGGTTTGTGTCTGGGCTCACACTGACTTCCCCTCACTATGTCTTCCACAGTAATACAGGGCCATGTCCTCAGTGGTTACAGAGCTCAGCTGCATGGAGAACTGGTTCTTGGACGTGTCTCTGGAGATGGAGGTTCGGCTCTTGAGGGAGGGGCTGTATTTAATGTCTCCATCATAACGTATGCCCCCTATCCACTCAAGCCCCTTTCCCGGGGGCTGGCGGATCCAATTCCAGCGGTAATCACTGGTTGTGATGGAGTAACCAGAGACAGTGCAGGTGAGGGAGAGGGTCTGTGAGGGCTTCACCAGTCCTGGGCCCGACTCCTGCAGCTGCACCTGGGACAGGACACCTGGGGACAAGGAGCATCAGTCCCTGTCAGTCACATGCAGTCATCCCCATCCTATGACCCTTGTCTGACCCATGAGACCCTCACCTTGGGGGGCTGTCACCAGGCACAAGAGAAGACTCAGCAGTCTCATCTTCTTCTAGACCACAGCTCTGCCTTCCCAGAGACCTCAGCCCTGAGTGAGGAGAGACCTGTGAGCCTGCACAGCCCAGGAGAGGATTTACCCTGGAGCTTGACCAGAAATTTGCATGTGGGGCAGCCCTTTTCTTATAAGTGAAGAGCCTGAGGTCAGGCTACCCTGGTCTTTCTGTGTGGAGGCATCTCTTCCCTTGACCTCATTCAGCAAGTAAGTCAAGGACAGGGGACCATGTGGGTCATGAGACACATTGGATTCAGGTCAAAGCACAGCCTCACCTTTTTTAGCATAAGAAGAAACATGGACTAGATGAGCAGGTTACACTTTCATCTTCTCAGGCATCTTTCAAACAGATGCAAAAGGGATTAGCACTTGTTCAGATAATTACTGAATCTGAAGACTCTAGTGTGTCTACAATTTCCAGATTTTTATTTCATACAAATAATTTCTACCTTTGTGCAAAAAAGAAAAGATAAAGGACAGTCATTCTGAATATCTTATACATTAATTTATAAGTTACTTTGATCTTAGAAACTACCTCCCAAGCACAGGCATGTGGGACATTCTTGATTCTTTTTAAAAAAATATTTTTATTGATTTCAGAGAGGAAGGGAGAGGGAGAGAGAGATAGAAACATCAATGATGAGAGAGAATCACTGATCAGCTGCCTCCTACACGCCCCCTACTGGGGATTGAGCCTGCAACCAGGGCATGGCCCTTGACCTGAATCAAACCCAGGACATTTCAGTCCTCAGGCCAGTGCTCTATCCACTGAGCCAAGCCTGTTAGGGCACATTCTTGATTCTTGTTGGAAATTTTGTGATTGTGCCTACAACTTCCTGTGCAAACTCTTCCATTGTGCAAGCTGATGGCCTATTGCAGAGACCCCCTAACTAGTTACATCAGCAATAGCTATGGCTTTGAGAGGAGAAAGACAATAAATAAAGGCAGTGATCATGTATGTGTACAACTCAGAATCTTTCATATGTTGAAATGATGATGGAAGAACATTGACATGTTTTCTTAGTTTAGCGTTATCAGCGATGTGGGCTTGCAGTGGTTCTCAACCTTCCTAATGCCGCAACCCTTTAATACAGTTCCTTATGTTGTGGTGACCCAAACCATAAAATTATTTTCGTTGCTACTTCATAACTGTAATTTTGCTACTGTTATGAATCGTAATGTAAATATCTGATATGCAGGATGTATTTTCATTGTTCGCGACCCACATGTTGAGAACCGCTGGAGAGGGAGGTGAGAGAAGAGAATTCCTACCATAGAATTTCTCACAGGAAAAGAAACTTCAATACTGAGAGGAATCCTTCACCCTCAGCATTCTTTTGCCTTCCCCTGGGAGTTAGTTCACTGTGGTCACAGGGTGCTGGGCTCTCCCACAAACATATAACATTCTTAATGTGTAATTTATATGTTCTAATATCAGACATATGATTTGTAAATATGTTTGTTATGTTTTATTTTGCTAATGGAATCTTTGATGAGACAAAATTCTTTAATTTTGACCAAGGCTAATTTAATAATATTTCCTTTAATTGGACCTGTTTTGGGTTATTTTATGAAGAACTCCCCCAGAAAATGCTGAGCTCCACTGTCCATGTGGATTTCCTACAGCTGCCACAGGCTCTGGATCAGGTTCTGGTATCAGGAGAAAATACCCATAAATCTGGATGTGACTGTGGATCTGGGTGAGGGGAGGAAGCTGGATTTGTGTTGAGTCACATGACAGAAATATGCCTGGTGTTCATAGACAAAGAGTTACTGGACATGTGGGTTTAAAGCTTCCTCCAAGCCTAGTTGGTTTGATTCAATGGATAGAGTGTCGGGCTGTGACTGAATGGTTCCGGGTTTGATTCCAGTCAAGGCACATGCCTGGGTTGTGGGCTCGATCCCCAATAGGGGTCATGCAAGAGGCAATCAATCAATGATTATCTCTCTTCATTGATGTTTCTATCTTTCTCTCCCTCTCCCTTTTTCTCTGAAATCAATAAAAATATATATTTTAAAAAGCCTCCTCTAGTGAAGGCCTAGAAGGAAGTATAAGGCATGATAGAGACAGCTTGTATCATTGTAGGAATTACATAAATAAGTTTCTTAGAAATAAAAATGTAAAATATCATGCAGGTAGGGATCTAGAGAAATTAGGATTGTGTCCTTGCAAACTGGTGGGAAGGGGGTACCTCTTTCCTACATGCACATTCTCACAGTGTCTCTGTTCTAGACCATCACTATAGACCTCACAACTTTTGATGTCCAGGGGTCTGCACTTGGACACCTTTGTGATCCTTACTCACATGGTCTCACCATGCATCATCCAAGCTGCATATTCATTGGGGCCGCATTTATGAAATCTCTGAACCCTTACAGGGAAGAGAGGGCACCTCTCACTGGAGGAACCATAGTCATGGTGTGTCTGTATGTGGAGCCATCATTTCATTGGACCAAATCCCTGTCAAAATCTGTAGTTGTTGTCCTTTTTTAAGTGTGTGATTCTTTAAAAAAACTGTCTTGTTTGAAGTGTTACATAAGTCTCCCCTTTCTCCTATCAAGCTTCGTCTAAATCATCATCAATATCATCATCACCATCATCACCATTTCCTTACTTATAATCATTCTTCTCATTTTCTATAGACAAGCTGGTTATCCACACACAATGACTTTTTTACAGGGAAAGAAAGCAGGTGTCTTCTCCTTGGCTGTCATTTGGAAATTGAAACCCTAAAGGCCCAACTCTAAGTTGACACAAGGCCTTCTAAAAACTGGTGACCTTGGATAAAGTACAGATTCCCACAAGACATCGGACCACGATTTCTGTCCAATTCTACTATCACCATCACCACCTCCATCACCAACATTATCATCATCATGATCACCTTCATCATCCTCATCCTCATTTTCTTACTTATAATTATTCCTCCCATTTTCTGTAGCCCTGGATTTTGAATACACAAAATGACACTTTATCTCAATGTTTGTACATTTTGTATAGTTGTTAAGTAAAATAGGTGCCCATACTCTATTTTATTTTATTTTTTTGACTGGTGACAACTGATGGCTTATTCTTGCCTCTTCTCCATCTGCCACACAGGAGAAAGCTGATAAGAAATTAGGATATTGTCTTTAGATGCCATTGGGGGATTGAAACCACTCAAGCCCCTGGAAGCAGAATTCATTCTACCCCCCATCACCTTGAAAATAATAAAGCACAAAGCCAGTCTCCTTTCCTGACTCAATCAACGCAGGTCTGACCTGCTAAAGGGCTTTCCCTGTGCTTCCCTGAGCTTTGAACCATGTGCATAATAAACATTCCATGTCCCCTTCTGTGTGTATTTGTCATCAGCCTGGACATGTGAACCAAGATTCTGTGGGTTCCTATGCCTCTGCCTGGTATCACCTATTCTTGGTGCTATGAGCATGATGACAAATCAATGATTGTAACCACCATGGGTTCTTCATCTCAAGCTTTTGGGTCATACGCCTCTGGTGTCTGCTTTCCAAAACAATCACGTCCTGCTGCTGGCTGGGACCCTGATTTGTGTGGGACTGAGCTGCACGATTGCGTCAGCAGAACCGCTGATGGATTTAGCTGACTTGGTTCAGAAGATTTGATCAGTAATTGGTACTTGGCACAAGAGCATCCTAAACAGACTCTCTGACATTTGTCCATTTGAAGAAGTTGTCTCTGTTTACAACAGACTTTTCTAACTCAGAGACTTCATAGATAAGTGCAGAATCAGGAATCCAGAGGTTCCCTGAGGGAAACAGTGCCATGAAGAGGAAACCATAACAGAAACCAGCCCAAACCTCCAACTGCACCTGCTGCTGGGTTGGTCCTTCAGTTCAGGGATCCTGAGTGCCACCTGGTGGTCACAGCCTCTCCTGCAAGGAGGTTTGTGTCTGGGCTCACACTGACTTCCTCTCACTGTGTGTCCCTTGCACAGTAATACATGGCTGTGTCCTCAGCTCTCAGGCTGCTGAGCTCCATGTAGGCTGTGCTCGTGGATATGTCTCTGGTCATGGAGACTCTGCCTTGGAACTTCTGTGCATATTTTGTGTTTCCATTGTTAGGGTAAAACCACCCCATCCACTCATGCCCCTGCCCTGGGGCCTGTCACACCCAGTGCATCCAGTAGCTGGTGAAGGTGTATCCAGAAGCCTTGCACGAGACCTTCAAGGAGTCCCCAGGCTTCCTCACCTCAGCCCCAGACTGCACCAGCTGCACCTGGAAGTGGTCATCTGTGGGGAGGAGACAGGAGTGGGTGGAAATCCCTCTTGACTCTCCCTTGTCCCCTCCTCAACCCAGGATGGGAGGCCCTTACCTGTAGCCATGGCCACCAGGAGGAGGGTTCTTCAGCTCCAGTCCATGGTGAGGGCTGTGCTGTGAGCACTTCTGTAGGGGGAGGGTATGGCTGTGGGTGATGCCTTCACGGCACAGACACCATATTTAACCTAGTCTACCCCCCCTCTTTTGCATATTCATGAGGCAGAGTATTTCATAGCTGAAGTCTTGACCCCAACTGAGAGAAGGTGGATGACGCAGGGACCATGCTCAAAGGTAGACTGAGTCTCCAGGTCCTCATTCTTTTTTTTTAAATTCTATCTTCATTGTAGAAGGTATTACATATGCCCTATTTTATCTCCCAACGACCCCTTCTAACCCACCCCAACCCCCTGCCCAAGGCCTTCACCAGCCTATTGTCTCTGTCCATGAGTTATACATTTATGCATAGGAGTTCTTTGGTTGATCTCTCCCCACCCTCCCACCCTCCCCCATCTTCCCTCTGAGATTCCACAGTCTGTTCCAAGCTTCTAAGTCTCTGGATCAATTTGGTTCATCAGTTTATTTTGTTCATTAGATTCCATATATGAGTGAGATCCTGTGATACTTGTCTTTCTCTGACAGACTTATTTCACTTAGCCTGGTACTCTCCAGGTCCCTCCATGCTGTCTCAAGGGCAAGAGACCCTTCTTTTTTATGGATGTACTATAGGCCTAGTATATGAAATTCATGCATGAGGTGGGGATAG